TAAGTGATAGTCTGTAGCGGCCACGCGACCTCGTACATACTACAATTAGCAGCCCCAGTCCTCATTCCTTGGGGTCGTTATTGATATGATCGTTCCGAGTCATTAATCGTCACGATTTAGTCACCCATGTTGGATGATGGCTTGATAATTATGCGACCGTAAATTGTCACCGGAATTGTTGGCCTTCCCCCCCCCGATCCCCAGGTGTCGATGCGCTGTTATCTGCTCGACGGTGAAAACCATTTGCTCTTCAGGAGTCGTCTATTTATGCGTAAATTCGATTTCTGCACAAGTGCCTCGACAATAATGTGTTGCCGAAATGTGTTGCATACGTGCTCCGGTTAATACAGAGTAGGCGAGATGCGCTGTACTTCAACACGGCAGATGAATGATCCGGATGATCCTTCAAAACTGTCCCTTGAGGCTTCGCAAGTACCGTCGGAGGATGGACGCGAGTTCATGGGCAAGAAGGGCACAAAACTGTTTCAGCAGGAGGTGGCCAAACGAGCCCGTGAACACAAAACGATGTCTGAGCAGGAGAATCAGTCACGTAAGGAGGGGGCGGCCGAACAGCGATCCTAAACTAGGTACTTATGACTAGGACCCAACCTTGTCTTGTTTCACCGGCATCTGACGAAAGAGGAATTGGCGTTTTAAAATAATATGGATCCTTGGTCGCTGTGATTTGCATTCCTGCTGGTGAAGCAGCTGAAAACTGCAGTTCCAAGGAATCACGTCTTATAAATAGGTTACCGAACCTCTACTAGGCCCATCGGCCTTCGCATTTCTCGTAGAAACCCTGTTAGGGGGGGGCTTGAGAATGAAACCGTTTGTCTTCCATCTGACTTACTTTTAAAAACATGTATTATAACCAGCTGCATGTTTTGGGAGAATTCTCTCCAGGTAGTCTTCATAAATGCGCAGTTTGGACTTCAGTCCTGTTTGAACGAGATCGGAAGATTATTATGCCCAGCTGACTAACCTGACTGTCGATGACCTCCTTGTCATGCTGATTTGATTGAATATTTGACCCGAGGTAGC